TAAATACAAAACAAACAAACAAAAAATACCTCATAGACATAGAATGCAAACTTGTGGTTGCCAAGGGGGCAGGGGTGGGAAAGGACAGACTGGGATTTCAACACGTAGAATAGATAAACAAGATTGTACTGTGTAACACAGGGAAATATATACAGGATCTTGTGGTGGCTCATAGCAAAAAAGAATGGGACAATGAATGTATGTATGTTCATGTATAACTGAAAAATTGTGCTCTACACTGGAATTTGAGACAACATTGTAAAAGGGCTATAACTCAATAAAAAAAAGTTTAAAAAGTTGATGCTGTTTGAGTTTAGTATTGAATTATTAGAGAATGTGATGAACCTGTAAGATTCTGGATCAAAATTAGTTAAATGACAAGAGCAAGTGATCCAAGTAGTATATACAATAAGAAATAAAGTCCTGAATCGAATCATTTTGTCTGATTTTCTCAGTGGGTAATAAATAATTAGGGTTTTGACTACTGTTGTTTTGAGTAAACTATAGAATGTAATCAATTGTGAAGTGGTGAAAATTTAAGGATATTTGTAATAAGATTAGCACTGTGATAATATAGTGGGGGTGTTAATGATCCTTTGGATAGATGAAATTGGCTGGCCCTGTGTATTGGTGGATGAAGACAAGTTGTTGATGCAAGTGGAGGGACTAATTGATAGGAAGGTTAGTGAAAAGTGAAGGCTATTAACATTCAGTTGATTGAGGAAGAATGAGCTGATAAGTCTGGTTAATAGGCCATAAGATGTAGTATTAATTCAGAGGATACAATTTTTGATAATCACGTTAATGGTATTAATATAATGTTTGGAATAATGAGTTTTAGCATTGAAAAAGGTTAAGATTTTGTACATAATCAGTACCATAAGCATTGGATATCATGACTATTAGTGATAATCCTAGTGCAGCCTCACAGGTGATGAGTACTAAGAATAGGTATTATGGTAGCTAATGAAAAATGGGTGTTTAGAATGATGGCAGTTGCTATAATGAGTAATGCTGATATTATGCCATCTAAGCACAGTAATGAGGGTATTACATGTGATTTATATATTATTATCCGTATAGGATACTGTAAATGCTAAAATGGTAGTAATATTGACTAATACCATTTGATAATTATGAAGTTAATTATAATTTTGAGTCAAAATACTGTTTTTGTTTAAAATAGTTATCATATACATTCATTCTAATCCTTTTTAATCCATTCATAGGAAAACCTTATGGCTACTAGTAATAAGATTAGAGTTTGTGCCATGAAAAATGTAGCTTTTGTTATTCTTTTGAGATGCTCAGGGTAAGAGTAAGAGGAGGGCAATTTCTAGGTCAAATAATAGAAAAGTAGTGACTACTAAGAATAAATAAATGGATAAGGGTGGTTTGCTGGCCCTATAGAATCAAATCCACATTGTTATTAACTTGATTTTTCTGTATACACATTCAGCAGAGGAAGTCAGACTGTGATAAGTACAACTTGTAAGTCTAGTCATGTATTGGTAGATGATGTCTGTATGAGCTTTATTAATCTTTCTCCAGTTACATGACAAGCAATAGACTGGAAGTCAGTTGCAAAATTTAATACTAAAAGAAAAAAATGTTCATCAATAGATAGTGACCTACAGGAAAAATCATTTTATCTACAAAAATGTAATATCAGGAAGCTGATTGAAATCCAAAATGATTAGATGTAAAGTGAAATTTTAATTGGTGTAGAAATCACAGAGTGAGAAAAGTAGAACCAATAATTTTGTGTAGTCAGTGAAAGCTTTTAGCTATGAAAGCTACTGAGCCAAAAACTCCATCTGAAATTATAAACTTTATATTCTTCTGAGGCTTGCAATAATATAAAATAAATTCCTAGAGGAACTGTAATGAATCAGACTTGCAGTATTGTCAATGATTTCTTCCTATTAGATGATGGTGAGTACAAGGGATGGAAACTTCAGAGGCTCAGAACTGAAATATTAAGAAGTTATTATGGGAACTGTGTGTGTGGTCAGTATGTTGTTAGGTGCTGTGTTCGCATATTTTTATCATTTTTCTGATCAGAAGGTAGGATCTATGTGTCATTTTAGGACTTATGTGTATTTGCCTCTATGTGTGTGTGTTGAGAGTTTGGTGGTGGGGAGAAGCATTGTAAACTTACCGACCCTGTGCTGAGAGCTGTAGGACCTCCTTCCCTAATAAAAATGACCCTGCTCTTTTCACCACATTCCCGCCCGTGACAATAATTCATTGTAATGGATGTATGTACTGTCCTGGACCAAAGCAATGCATCCATTTATAATTCATAAAGTAATTTATATTTTGAATAAAAAATACTTACATATATGATGGATTTTATGTTTTTCCTCTTATTTACCTTGGTGCCTAACAATGATAATAGAAGATCCATTTCCGGAGACCAAGCTGACTTTTAGGAGTCAGGATCACTCATGAACACATCCTCACCCTGTTTGTCCTGACTGGTGTATGACTTAATGTTATTGCAAGAGGAGTTTCCCAAGACAAAGGCAATGGTCTTCCTCAGAACCTCAGGGAGCAGGTGACAGAATGGGCTCCAGGTGGAATCTCTTTCCAAGTTAGACTTTGGTTC